TATTTAAACTTCATGCCATGCCATAATTATTTAATAAAAAGTAAATATAAAATGTATCTCAGTGGGGAATATGACCTTTTACCTTCATGTTGTTATACCAGAGACAGACCCAGGCAAACAGAGGGCCTGGATCAGTGGAATAGTCTGTCTCACTTGATAGTTTCATCCTCCTGGTGCCTCAGATGGTTCTCCTGGAAGGAGCTGAGGATATTTTGGAAGATTCAATAAGTGCCATCAGCATCTCTTGCAGTCAGGGGTTTTCAGCTGTGCCAGTCTCCAGCTGTTTAAAAAAAAAACCAAAAAAGCTATTTTTTTCCCAAAAGAATCACAAATGGTACGAGAGGATCGAATCCAGCACCGAATGAGGGCAGTGCTGAAGGACTTGCACGTGTTACTTATTAAATGTGCCACGAAACTCTGAGCAGGATCCTCAGCATTAATGTGGGGTTTGTGTTCCGACGCACACGCTGAAGGACAAGGAAATCCCAAGGAAAACATCCCCGGGGCTGTGCTGCTGCCCACTGCTCGTGCTGCTGTGTCAGAGGCAGGCAAGGCTGACTTTTGGGTTCTGCACCCGCGGAAATTGGAGTCTCCTCCTGAACAACCAGAAATGAGACCCTTATTTCCCAATTACAAACACAATTTCACTATGAAGGCACGGGAAGCTTTCTGGAATCGTCAGCGGTGCCAGGAGGGCTCTGCCAGCTCTTGCTGACTAAAGATCTGGGTCAAAACCTCCTGGTTTATCCACCAGAGATTCCCATCATTCCAGGGAAGTGGGGATGTTTGCAGAACACAACTGGAGAGCTGAACGTGTCTTAACGAGGAGCTGTGCCCTACTTTGGGGCTGCAGAATGTCGGGGGCGTGTGTGGGATGTGTTTATTAAAAAAGCAAACACCACACTCTGATTTCTGCCTCCACAACCAACAGCACGAGACCTGCTCCAATTTATGTTTGTCCCATAATTTGCTTTATTCCTGCCAGGGTCAGTTTGCCCAGAGCAAACACGTTCACCTTGAAAAGAGGTATTTTGTGATGGTGCTGCTGTGTCTCCCAGATTATTCATTCAGCCTTTGGTAGGTGGTGAGGAGTCAGAACTGGAGCAGTTTTAAGTGCAGAAGTCATGATTTCTTTGTTCCCTTATTGAGATAGAGCCATACAAATATATAGTTTTATATATATATTTAAATATATAATATATATAATATATATATTTATATTTATATATATATATTTAAAGATACATATGTCTCAAAGATAAAAATATATATCAAAGAAATATATCTCAAAGGTTCCCTTATTGAGATAGAGCCATAGAAATATATATATTTTTATATTTTTTTATATATATATATTTAAAGATACATATATCTCAAAGATAAATGCATATCAAAGAAATATATCTCAAAGGTGTATATATATATATATGGATATATAATATAAAGATATATGTCTCAAAGATATATATATCTCAAATATATATATCTCAAAGGTATATATATATATAGGTATATCTCAAAGGTATATATATTTATATATATA